AGAGGTGACTAACGCAGCTGCAGCAGGCCACCAGGAAAGTATGTTGGGGGAGGAAAACATAATGCCGAGAGGATTTTGAACACTGTCTGTGACTTTTCCTGCCTGAGCACCTTTCAACACCTTGCTCTATGTTAAGGCGTGGAAAAATCCTGTGCTTGCCCCTTTGGGACTTCCTTGGGTTGCTCCAGGATGCTGTTGCTACCTCGCCTCATCGGAATGAGACTCGAAAAGAGTTTCTCAGCTAAATGCAACAAAACTTATAATGATCAGAAAGTGTTCAGTGCCAAAGAGCTTCTGAGTATTATCTGATGTTGGTCATCTTTTTCTGTTGGGCAGTTGGTGTATCTGTCTGCTTACCAATGTGTTTTTTTTTTTTTTTTTTTTTTTCTGGAATAAGGATCCTCTCCTGGAGGAGAGGAAAGGGGAAGGCATGCGCTTTTCAAGTGCTTAGGGCTCCATTGTCTGTATGAGGAGCCCCAGCTCATAATTCCAACACTAGAGTTAACTACTGGGAGTAAGGAGCACCTTCCTTAGGGTTATCTTTTTTTTTTTCTTCTTCTCTCTCAAATTGGCAGCTTAGAATAGCTTCTGTAGTACCTGAATGCGAGTATAACCTTTTCTTGGACAAGTGGGCTGCTTGTTTATAGTCAAGCTTTCAAAAGTCAGATGTTATTCAGAGGCACTATCTTTTCCTTTCACATAGCTGCTTTGTGATAGAGAATTGCACCCAGGTGTCGCACTACTGAAGAATACATTTCCTTAGGCAATCCATAAATGAGTCATTAGTTTTTCCCTGATCCACCCTCAAAGTGCCCAGTCACACAGAGGGCTGGTGTGTGTCTGCTGAGCCCTTGACCCACTGGGAACCTTGAATGGGTGGGGCCTTCGGAGCTGGCTAACATGTATTCTTTGCCTGTCCCTCAGCAAAAACGGTGCATATCTTAAAGGCAACGAGTAAGATTCAGCACTTGGAAAAATGAATATGGCAATGCTAGTAAAGCTGCAGTATCTAGTTTTGAATGCTTAAGAGTTTGCTGGGTCAAAACCATTTGAGTGATGATTTTCTTCTGCTTGCTTTCTTTCAGCCTTAGGGCTGATCAGCTCTTTCTGAGAACAGTATTAACAGGGATAAAGCAGATTATTTTCCTCTAAATTTTCATGCTCATCTGCATACAGTCAGCTTCCAGTGAAGAAGCTTAAGAGCAGGAGTTGCCTATCTGTAGCGTGTGAACCTAATGTTTCCATTATTCGTTTCAGAATAACTTAAGAAAAGCTAGCATCTCAAATTTCGTAGGTTTACTTGCTTTCCTTACTCCATGAAAATGTGTCCAAAGGCTAGATATACTTCTCTCTTTATAAACTGAGTTTATAGGAGCTTTTTCTTGATGAATACAGCATTCATGATGTTAGGACTGAAATGCTAAATTCACTTGCAGTACCAGTGTTTAAGGGTATGGAAAGTTGTTTCAGGTACTTGAACTCTATCTGACTATAAAGCCTTCCCTAATTAGAGCTCAATCTCTTTATCTTGCGCAAAACAACTTGAATGGTGACTCAATTATATCATCGAAGTACTCTTTGGTGGAGAGAATACAGAGTGCACTTGGGTTCTCTAAGCTACCGGAGAAAGGAATAGAAAGAACCAGTAGCTAAAATATGGAGACAGTCACATCCATAAACGTACTGATGAAGGCTACCAATTGCTGAAATAATTTATTAGAGCAATCCAGTGAATTTTCTACTCTCATGGATGTCTGAGGCTTGCTTTCTCTCTTTTTAGAGGTTAGATTTCAGTCCAACACAAAATTGGAGCTCAGTGTGGAGAAAGGAAAGAATGACGATAACTGGATGAAATCTAACTGCTGTGCTACTCAGGTTCTCAGACTGGATGATCTGATGGTCCTCTGGTCATGATCTTAAGCAACGCCCCCCCCTCCCCAATCAAAGAAAACAAAACAAAAAAACCACAGCCAAATGGATAACTTGCAAACTAATGGGGATTTTGAGTTTGGTGACACAGTTTGTTCTGTGAGTGCCCCAGTAGCTCTTGTGGACTGTCTGTGAATGACTTGCTGTGCCCAAATCTGTTCCATGTCTGAACAGGTCTCACTGCCCCTGTGGTGCCCCCAAACTGCTAAGGCTGTTGTGGCATAGGCACGGGCACTCTCCAGTCTGCCCAGTGCTTCCAGCTGGTTCCTGGTGGCATGGGGGAGGAATGGAATGGGGGGGGGAAGGGCACAGGGTGGAGGGGTGGATGAAAGGTGAAACCAAGGCAGGTACAGGGGAGTGTGTTCACACAGAAGTGGTAGGGGAGCAGTGGGATGAAGGCATGGTAGAAGGACTAGTCAGGAGTGCATATGAGGAAGTGGAATCATAGGTGAAAGCTGAAAGGAGGTTAAAGATATGGGACAAGATAGTGGTGGATAGGCTGGGTGAAGTAAGTTCTGTAACTGGAAAGATGTTATCATCCACAGCTGGGAGTTGAACACAGGAATTAGCATGTCTACTGGTATGTCAGCATGAAAAAGAAAAGGTTTCTACTGTTACCAGCTGCTCTGTTAATACAATAAGGGATGGTGCCATAAATAAATCAGCTGTATAGGACTTGGGCTGCTGCTCAGCATTGTAGTTTTCAAGTCCATTCTGTACAAAATAAGTAACAAAAACTTCTCACTGAGGTTCCAGTGTTTCTTTTGGGGGTGAAAGCCTCTGTTTGATGTGAGGTTTTGGCACTTTAGGATTTGTAATGGTTCCTGTCCCACTTCCTCCTTCCCCCTTCCATTTCCACTGCTCTGCTGCTAACTTTTGTAAGTCAATATGGGCCCAGTATACTGGGCGGGAGGGGGGCTGAAGAACAAGTAGATGTACATCAAACTGTTGCTCTATGGTAAAGAAACATTCAATGAGAATGTTCTGTATTGTTTGTAGAAAAATTGTAATGCAAACAGTATTCTTTCTGGATGAAGAAAACTAAATTGCGATGGTACCATTATACTTTGACAGATGGTGGGAGGTTGGCATCTATTGCCAGAAAAGGAGTTACCTGGCCATATTTCTGAAGATGCTTGGCAGAGTTTACTAGTTCCTGTTTTTGGTTTTGGTGTTGATTTCATGCAGTCACAGAAATTTAATTTTAGACTCTCAGGCTAACTACTTTTTAAAAATTTTATTCTAGATCGAGAGGATCAGTCCATCCTTTGCACGTGAGTATTACAGTTGTCAGCTTGTCTGGATGTCAAAGTCTGTGTTAAAAGTCTTGGTTGGAGGGCTCTTTTAATTGTAAATGCTGGGGGTGGGCTCAGTGAATCAGGTAATAGTGGAGAGTCAAGGAAAGTCCCACTACAGTTCCTCCCATATATATGTAATCCTTTCTGCAGCATAATTTTTGTAAGAATTGGAGGAAGAAGGGGCGTTTTGAAACAGCCCCTGTACTCAAACTCCTAAAGAAATACAGCTTTGTCAATGGAAAGGGCTTGGAGAAGTCCTTCAGATTTGATGCAGCTGTTGTGTTTAAGTACATTCATACTGATGAGGCTGATACAGTAACATGCTCTTGATACAGCAGTTTCTCTTCTAGACACAGCAAAATTTGTTGGCCCTCAGTTCTGCTTAAGGAATTGGTGTGTTCCTTCTTGCAGTCAGGAGGCTTCCTTTTGAAAGATTCACTTCATTACCTTTCACCTCTAGCTCTACAGCAGCCTCCGGATTATTCCTCAGCCACTTGGCAATCTTCATATCCAGTGACTAGAAAGCATAGTTCTTTATTGCCTTCCCTCCTCCGTGCGTGTGTACAGAACCCGCACCCAGCAGCAAACTGGCTGAGGGCTAGCCTGCAGTCCAGCTACACTGCTACCGCTTGCCAGTACGACTTGTATTTTCTTGGTTTTGAGGGAGGTGCCGTAATGGCCAGAATGCAGGTAAGGAGCTCTGTAGCCCTTTTGGGGTTAGAGATAGGAATATGTCCTCCTACGTCTTGTTTGTGAATGAATTGCAGATTTTCTTTACAGAGGTGAATCGGGAGCTGGTAAGACAGAGAACACCAAGAAGGTCATTCAGTATCTGGCTCACGTTGCTTCCTCACACAAGTCTAAAAAAGACCAGGTAAGACCTGGGTTTAATGATGCTTTATTGCTGCGCTGACTTTGGACAATAAATATATATTGGCTGGTGTTGGTAAAAGCCATATTGCTCAATAAAAGCCTAGATACTGACACTTACCAGGGGACTGAGGAGGACAGTGAACTATGAAACAATAAAAATTTGTCAAAAATTGCAAGCCAGGGAACATTGTTCTAAGTCATAACTCCTTTGAACTCAGTGGAGCTACGGTGGGGATAAACTCATCCACAACCTCTTGGATTCATGGGCAAGTGCATGGGCAAGAGACGCTGTAAGTGAAGCATCACCCATACTGATCTCTTTACACAGATGTATTGCTTATAACCAGTCCAGGCAGTGTAAAACCTTTATAGATTAGGTCTGGCTATTATATATACTGTTTCAAAACTGGAGAATACAGTGATAGGCTAGCGGACATCAGCTGAAAACTTTAAAGTTGTAGGAAAACATTAAAAGGGTGGAAAACAGCCAAGTGTTAGCAGCACATGAAAGGAGGGGGGTGGTGGTGGTGGGAGCACTTTAAAGATGTCTCACTTATATCTTTTTCCCCCTCCCTCTCCCCCGATGGACTATTGCCGAATTCATCAGTTGTATCCTCGTAGGTGAGCTGCACGTTTACTGCACGTTCTGCACCAGGAATGCGTTTTCTGTCCCATTGTGTGATTTTTTTGAGCAGCTTTTCACTCCACACCAATGTCACTTTCTGCAGCTAAAACAAATCCATAGACAATTCACAATTTTATTTTTTTTGTGTGGTGCACAGTAATCTTTTTGTGAGGATGTTCAATTGGAGACTGAAGTAATATCAAGAATACTTGTGTTCTGTGCTCAATACTCGTTTGCATTTGAGGTTTTTCTTGCAGGATTTTCCCAGATACACCATTCAAGAAGTATTCCTCCAGGGCAATAGGACTGGACCAGGCTTTCCTAGAACCATCTTCCTAATAAGATAAATGTAGTTAGGTGTTTAGCTTTCTATTCCCTGCAGTGACATGTGGCTGCAGGTTGCAAAGAAAGGTCGGGGGGAAGGTTGCCCTGCAGACAGGGTGCTCCAGGACTGTGAGCTTGTTAGCCAGAGCTGAAGACGTTGGAAATGTTCACTGGTGAGCTGTGTAATGAAAGCCAGATGCCAAGTGTGTCCACTGTATCTCTACATAAGTTTTCCCATAGTAGCTTAGTGTGTAGGCATACCTTATGTGTGTAGAGTGTATGAATAAGAAGGCATCTCTGCATGCAGGCATACTATGTGCACACACATAGTAATAAGTAACTTCTGGAATCCAACCAAAAAAAAACTTTATGTGCCAAACTTTCAGACATGTGAAGACTTTTTCCATGGTCTGTCAGTAGCTGCATTTAGAAACATTCTCCTTTTTTCTTTTTTGAAGTGTGGAAAATAGAATCATGGGGTTGAGTTAAGTATTCTTCCACTGCTTATCCTTGAGCAAAATTTCAACCACCGAAGCAGGACAGGCAGTCTGCTTAGGAGAATAAAACAGTCCTAAGTTGCACTGGTTGGTGATTTACCTAAGTTTGATATTTCCCCCGCCGTCCCCCCAAGTTTTGATTCTTCCGAAAAGTCCTGCAGCTCACGTTTTGCTCCACTTTTATGACTAAACAGTAGCACTGGCCTTATCAGGGAGGATTTAGAACTGGAGTCTTTGAATGTTAATTGGTAATGAGTGTTCTAATGCAATGATTCTTTACAAATCTTAAACTTGGAACCAGATTATAAGGGTTTATGAAGATGAATACGTTAAATATTTTGAGGATCTCGGGTATACTGGTCACGGCAGATTTATTCTTTAGGGTTGAATAAGATAGTGTCAAACCTTTATGCTGCAAGACTAGGCACAGAACTTAACCAATGATAATATAGAAAGTAGCGGTGCTTTATCTACCAGAAAGGTTTCTTGACTGTCTCCAGTTAGAAGTTTTGGATGTAAACCCCTGTTTTTCCAAGTATCAGAGCAAAATCAGATTTATAAAGCATATTCTTCAACTATAGCTCTCTTGTTTTGGAGGTAGTGGCAGCTTCCACTGTTCCCAGTGCATTAGCATATTCAGCTAAATAGCTTCTAGCTGCATGGTGTGACTACTAAGCACGTTAAGGCTGCTTTTGGGGCCTATTGAACCTAATTATATAAACACTTTTTTTCATTTGACGAAACTTTATTTATGAAAGTTGAGATTTCCCGTGTTTAGTCTCTGCTTCTCTACTGACTTCTTAAATCGTGTAATGGCTTTTTCAAGATGAGAATGTTTGCAGCTAATCAGAAATTCATGGGTAATAGTTGCTAATGCTTAAATATTTGTGATGAAGATTAGGTTATTGATGATCTTTCTCTCTTCCCTATCCAACCCACTGTTGTTGGGACTCAGTTATTTAAGAATCTCTCACATGACTGCAGAGAATAATACAAAAGCAAATTCCGAAAGTGTAAAAATCAAAACAAACCCCCCCCACACCAAAACAGACTCAGACCACCCCCCCCATCTTTTAGTTTTTTAAATTGCATGCTGTTAAAGCTAGCTGTGATTTCTGGGTGCCTTTCTTCATACTTTGTGAAGAATAAATGGTGGGCAAAACTTCTACTTTGCATAGAATTCATTCCAAAAAATGTATGAGATGCGAAAAATTCAGAGTACAAGATAGATGTCAAGGATTTTAGTTGCTTTACCAACTTCAGAGCAGTAGAAAGAGCGCACTGAAGAGTGTGCATTGCCCAACCATGGACTAACAGATCCAGTGGCTGTTATTGCTTCTGTTTTCATGAGGAATATTGTACATACTTCAAATACATGCCAAGTGTTAAGCAAACTTGGTTCAGGTCAAGGAATGTCAGAAAATTAGTAGCGTCTTAATGATAGGAACCTTAGAATTTCTAGAAAGCTTATGACAGACAGCTGTGTTGTACTGTTTTTGCTTTGCAAAATTACCCATTGTATAAGAATAATGAAGTCTCTTCCTTCAGTGAAAGGTGACTGTCAAAATTTAAGGTAAAAAACCCCAACAAACCCCACCCAAAAACTTCTTCAAAATTTTAAAGATAAAAGGATTGTCTTTTTAAACAAAGACAGCATGCAGTGTGTGCCAGTGAGGAATGGGTACATCGCAGTAATCGCAGCCACTTAATCTTACGTGCCATTGCCATAGCATGCTGAGAACTTGCTCCTTCCACTGTATCATGGTGCTAAGGCAAGTCATGAGAGCTAACTGACTTGACCAACTCTTTAGCATTTTCCTTTCTCCACAGCTCTATATTGCTGTGTCCCTGAGCTGGTGTTCTCTATGCATATTGCTACCTTGGTGGTTCAAGAGACCTAATCACCTCTAAACTACAGTTTACCCACACCTACTTGACATTAATGACACTTTCTTCCTGAAGTACTAAATAACAGGAGAGTCTGTACTATGGATTTCTATAAACTTTTGATCTTTGTGTAGCTAAGCATGACCTTAGCTTTATTTTTAGCCAAATAATTAAAATAATCTTGGTGTCAAAGCCAGACTTCTGTTTAGAGGAAAAAAATGGGCTTTCTAAAATCTCTTCCCTCCTTGTTCCATTCAACCCTAGTTGGGTTGAAATGCTATGTTGCTGGCATCTCTCACTTGCATAGTAACAGATTGCAGTCCCAAACAAAGGCCTAGGACTTCACTGCAGGATGGGGAGGAGGAATGGAGTGAGGGAAGAGTGTTCCACCTTCAGTACGTGTGCCAGAATAGGAGGGTAAATGTGACTGCCACACAGTTTCAGGGACTGAACCCTAGTTTCAAGGTTTTCTCCTTACAAAGCCACATGCTGGCTCTGTTGTGAGGAGCAGATGTCCCAGCTCAGGTTCCCTTCCCAGGGCTAACCTCCTTGTTATATACACTTGACAGTGAATGAAAAGTGCTTGCAGCAGCTGCCCCTTCTGTATATGTGCGGTTCTGCAGGGGCTGAGGGTCTTGTTTGGCCTTGCACTTTGCAAGCATGAAGTGAGGTGATTGTGGAAGTAAGAAATAAAGACTTGTAGATCTTTGTACAGTTTCTCATGTATCTTCCTCTTTTTTTTGTTAATTGCATGTATTTTTAGAGACACTGTGTAAGGACTGATCTGTTTTATAATGCACTTTGAGAATGAATGGGAACAATTTTCCTTTAGAAATACCCTTAAATAATTTGCCCATAAATTGCAGTTCTCGTGAATCAAACTTCATTTCCATCCGTTATGCACAGGAAGTCTTGAGTACTTACTGATAACTGCTAAAAAGAGAACCAATAATCTAAACTGTCATTTTCTGTCCCTAGAAGCTTTTTAGGTAATATTGAAATATATAGAACTCTATGCTTTTAGCACAGAGAACAAGTAATTTTTAAAAACAGCCAGGGATATATCTAGAGCCTGCAGGGAAAGGTGTATATGCTCCAATGGTCTAGTACTTGGCAGGGATAAAGGTTCTGAATTTCCTTTTTCTACAGCTCCAGCATTTTGTGTTCCTTGAGGGGAGGAGTGTGTGAATACGGCAACAGAATGCAAGTGATCATGCAGTTTGTGGGATACCACTAATTCTGTTTTTTTGTGTGCCTCCTTACAAAGGAGGTTTTTGCTTTTGGAAGATTTAGAGTCTTAGTGCAAGCTTTTTGTTTTGTTTTTGTTTTTTTAAAACATTAGACCTTTAAAGACTAGCTTCTTAACCTACTACTAGCAGAGTTCAAGCCTGTCTTGCAGTAGCAAGACAGGATTTTCCTCACTCTTCCAGCCTAGACAGCAAGACACTTCTGGGATGAGGGCCTGATCTTGGATGGTGCGGTGTTTCACTTTGATCCTGGGAAGTCTGTGGGATGTTATGGCCAAGTGGCTTTGAAGGGCTTCTTGTTAACAGAAAGGCAGCTCTGGCATGCCCTTGTGTTGAGGAAGGGAATAAGGCATATTTGTGAATGTTTCTGTTTTACCCAGATAACTAATGAGTCTCCTTTGAAGGTTTAAGGGATCGTCTCCTAAGGTTTAATAAGGCTTCTCTACAGCAGATGCCAAGCTAGTGTGAATTGAAACTTCAGCGCTGGTTTGACCCAAGGTTAATGCAGTAAACCACTACCTACTTATTAATTTCTGATTTCTCTCTAGGGAGAACTGGAGAGACAGTTGCTCCAGGCTAATCCCATCCTGGAGGCCTTTGGAAATGCCAAGACAGTAAAGAATGACAACTCCTCAAGATTTGTGAGTATTACTATCCAGCATGGGTGCCAGTATTCTACACTTTCCCGAGGGAAGACTTGGTCTGCTTTTGGGTGAATTGTTGTCAGGGATAGGACAACTATCTGTGAGTGACTTCCTTCAAATTAATCTGGGAAGTGAATTTAATGCAGTGAATTATGCAGAATAGACCTGATAGGTCTCTGGACTGTGCCAGAATCATCTATGCTGATTTTTATTGTAAGTTTATTACAGTCAGTTTTATCTTGGAGAGTAAATACTGGTCCTTATTTTACTTGCTCTGGAGAGCAATGGACAGCGTCTGAGAGGCAGATGGGGGGGGCTAGAGCTGGAACTAAATGAAAATGGTTGAAGCTAATGTTGAGGGAGATGGAACTGTCCAGATCATATAGAACACGAAACTGAAGGGACCCTGGTTGTGGGAAATCTGGGCTGAAACATAATGAATTTGAATTGTAGGCTGTCTGAATGTCAGAAATGTCTGAAAGTGCTTGGTGTCTTGTTTGTTAAATCGCTGTTGTGATCAGCAGGCATTGCCTATTGGCTGTCCTTGTTTTGCTTAAAACCTGCCTGGCCTGTTCTGAATTTCCTTTCCTGGATTAAAAAAAGAAGGTTTACCTTTGCTGTTTACTGCTGTTACCAGATAGAATGAATACTAATTTTAATGCTATTATCTTCCTCTTAGGGCAAGTTCATCAGAATCAACTTTGATGTCAACGGCTACATTGTTGGAGCCAATATTGAGACCTGTATCCTTTCTGTAACCACTTAAAAGGAGAAGTTAAAGGCTATAGAGGTGGCAATAATGGTACCTAGTAATCTCTTCACGACTGACTTTCTATTTGTCAGGTCAAGAAAGTGGTAGGAAGCACTTAAATTTATGCTAGCGTTTATAAATTATGTGATCATGGTGGAAATCTTTTCTGAATGAATGAATTCTAATCTTAGGAGGCTGAAACGGAAGCATAAACTGCCATAAGGTGAATAGCTTTGGAATTTCATAAACCATTCTCACTTCTGTCCAAGGCAAGTAGGGATGGATGGCCACTGTTTTTTCTGGTTTTTATCAGTTAAGTCTCTCATCATAGCCATCATTCAGAGGCCAGCAGAACTGAGACTGGAAGCTCAGTGGGTTATTGACTGATAGCGACTGCTAAATCAATACCCCTGTTAATTGGCATGAGGAGAACATCAGGTAGTATGAATTTTTTCTCCTGCCATAGAACAGGAATTGATTTGTATGTCCTGCCATATGCCTTGACTCTCTGAAGATCTGCTGGAGAAGTCGCGTGCAATTCGTCAAGCCAAAGAGGAGAGAACCTTCCACATCTTCTACTACCTGCTCTCTGGGGCAGGCGAGCATTTGAAGAGTAAGTATGATTTTGTTGTAGTTATGGGGTTCCCTCATCACAACAACAGAGGGTCCAAAACACTTGTAGGGTAGGACCCGTTCCTTCACAGCTTCTTGGCTCTGCCTTTTAGATGTGGTCATCCCTCCTCCACTTCTTCCGTACACTCATACATCCCTCTGCCCTCCCCCTGCACTTCTCAGTTCCTGAAAACTTGCTTCTCTGGTTCCTTCCTGCACTTGTCTCCTTGCCAGCAATGACTCTGTGCCCTTCCTTATCTAAATCACTGTCCCATGTTTAGTCTCGTCTTGCATGATGTAAACCCTTCTAGTGCGGGAATGGTCCTACTGTGATGTGCTTGGTGTTTAACTGAATGGAGCAAAGCTGCTGGCACCTAAGCAGCTCTAGAAGTCTAGGATCCTAGTGCACTTAGCTCAGCCTGGTAATCAGGGTCCATGTTGTGGGAGAGCTGCAAATTGATCTGAAGGAAGGACAGGAGGAGAGGACTTTTCTCATAGTTGCTACTGTTTCAAGAGCTATATACTAACTTTCACCTGACTTGAAACAAATGAGGTGTCTGAAATTAAAGGCAAATTTACTTTCAAGTTAACCCCTACTTCTTATAGACTTAGGGCATAATGACGATTGACACTGCTTTGGTGGAGTAGTCCAGAGGAGGGAATAGAAAGAAATAAGGCAGAAAAACTCCAATTTTATCTAAAATAAATTAAATGTTCAGCCTGCAGTAAAACTGGGCTTAATCCCAGATTCATCCAGCACCTGCTAGCATATGCAAGTCAGAAATTTGATCTCAGTGGTAGCTTGTTGTCTATTTAAAAAAAAAAAAAAAAGTGCCATAGTAACTTTTTTTCTCAATTCTTTCCTAAGCTGATCTGCTGCTGGAGCCTTACAACAAATATCGCTTCCTTTCCAATGGGCATGTTACAATCCCGGGTCAGCAAGACAAAGATATGTTTCAGGAGACCATGGAGGCAATGAAGATCATGGGCATCCCAGATGAGGAACAGATAGGTATGAATCCTCTGAAGGGCTTAAAAGAGGGAACAGATCATATCTCTCTGGGGTTCTTTGTTTTGGGTTTTTTATTGGTTTTGTTTTGTCTGGTGTCCACGCCCCCCTCCCCCCCAAATGGACAGTGTGCAAGTAATAAACTTAGTGGCTTTGGAGTGACCCACTTCAGCATCTACCAGCACAGTTTCAGTTTATACAGTTAATGTTAGAAGTCAAGCAGCTAATGAAAACATGCTTCTGCTTGCTGTTTTTCTTCCCAATCTGAGGGCTGTATATTCAGTTTATGAATAACACATCCAAGATACAAGAATCCCCTCATTCTCTTGTGCAATGCACGGCTTGTGTGCTCCCCCTATCCCTAAGCAGTGGCTTTAAAGTATCTAATCCAACCATTGCTGGATTAGTACTTTGCGAATGGCCTGGTCATAGTGCCTTTCTTTCCAGCTTAACACTGAACTGCTGATCAGAAATTAATATTGTCTGATTCTGGGAGCACAGTACCATGACAGTGAAGCTAGAACTGCATGCAGCCAGCACAAAGTGCAGTGATACATATTCACCAGAGCTCTCTGCTGTCTCATTCATGATCTGCCTCACTGGTTGGGAACCAGTGTTCTGCAACATCTCAGTTTCTAAATGTATGTCGTCTTCTAAAACTAGGACTGTTTTTTTCTCTATACTGAAGCAAGCGTCTGTGGTGGTTTGAGGTCACCACCTCCTCTGCTGGAGGCTGCAGCTCTTGTGGCTGTAGGGTATATGTGCCTGTGCCTTAACTATTGCTCTTCACAGTCCAGCCTGCTGTAAATCCATGCTGTCGTTATCCGCAGTTTAATACACTTGATATCCTGTGAATCATCTGAGACTGAAACTGCTGTACGAAGGTGAAGAGAAACTTGCCCAAACCGAATAAAAGGATTTGCAGCCTAATTTATTGTCAGGATGCTCAGCTACGCTCAATTTTTTTTAGTTGGGTTTTTAATGTATGCTCTAGGGCATGTTTGCTGTCCCGTAGGTGAGCTATTGGTTCCAGGCACTACAGCAAAGACAGCTTCAGTGTTTTGCACTCGCTGTTCAAAGTGTGAAGTGCATTAATGTTCCTTATAGGCTTAGAAGAATAATACATACAGTAGCTGGCTGGCTGGTAGTCTTACTTAGTTTTGATATAAAGTCTAAACACTAACTGTCTTCATTTATGAGACAACATCAAAATAAGCTGTCTGTCCAAGTGCCAGGACTCCAGATTCAGCTGTCAAACCACTGGATTTCATAACGTGCTACTAAGAACATATATGTTTCTTTTCTGTTAGTCTTGATGTAGCATATATGGAGCCTTTATTTACTCTGCTATCAAAAGGATATTGTTTTAAAACAAATGTTTCTGTAACAGATAGAGTTTAGGGGATGAAAAAATCTTTGGTACAAGATCCCCTTTGCAAGTGACTGGCAGTTTACTTTGCTTAAGGCAACTAGAAGCTATTATGCAATGAGCTTTGATTGATTGAGTTGAAGCTATAGCATTGAAAACTGTCTTTCCTGTCCTAGCATCTGATGCTGCTTTTGTGATGTGCACCATTCAAAGAGTATGAATATATCATTAGCAATGGGTGGGGTGCTTCAGCATGTAATTAGTAATAGTTATGGTACAGGCACTTTCACCCACATCCTGCTGCCCTTCATACATTATAATGTATGTCTGTATGGACTACAGACCTTGGTCAGGGAGCTAAAAGTGATATGGGGTTAAAGGAACAGAATCTTCCTTCTCTTAATTGGTTTGTACTCTTAATAACTGTCTCTTTCCTATGTTTGACAGTAGTCATTGAGGAAAATAGCGAATTTTGGCCTTCTAACAGATGTTCTATCAAAAAATACAGATGTTGTGGGATGGCGCATTACCCTCAATCCTGTCTCCCGCTTTACTATAGTGATGTTGAGAATGGGTAAATTTCCAGGCTACATAGTCTTGCATAGGAGGAACAGGGAAGGTCCTGTGTCTGAATGGGAGTCATAAAGAGGAATTACCTGTGGTGTGTTTTCCCAAATTCTAGAAAGGTCTTCGCGATGTTGAGAAGGGCCTCTTAACCATGTCAGGAAAGGTAACTGGGTCATATCAGGGCTTTTGGAGATGTCTGACACTAAGCTATTATTATTACTTTAAAAGGTCTGCTGAAGGTTATCTCAGGTGTTCTTCAACTTGGCAACATAGTCTTCAAGAAGGAGCGTAATACAGACCAAGCCTCTATGCCAGACAATACAGGTAACCAATCTCCTTTTCCCACCCCAAAGAAAAATCCAAAAAAAAGCCTACAGGAAGTTCTTGCAAGTAGAAGAATATATTACAGTATGTAGGAAATGCTGGAGTCCTGTTTTTCTAGGTGAATTACTTGTCAAAGGAGCTGACATGCTCCTTCATACAAATACGTGCTGTTCTGCTAGACATGGGTTTGCAGCCACCCATGGGCAGGAGTGTGGCACTGTTCTTGTGACAGGGCTAGGCAGGAAGTACACGTGATGACCAGATGAAAAGGATTACTCTACTGGAATATGTAGCATGTGTGTTTTAACCACAAGCTAGGAATGATTGCCCCTACAAACCTATATTATCAGATTTTAAGAACATTCTTTGCTGACTTTGTAGGTAGACTTGTAAGAGTAAGGTGGATAGTTTTGTGGTGGGTATAAAGTATGCGTACATATTTTAATTGCACTGCCCATTGTTGCATGTGTAAATAGTACCACGTTTCACGTGATAGGAGGCTATCTGTTGGAAGACTTAGCTCTTAGACCTTCATTATAGCATAGACTTAGTGGTTTGAGAGTATTGCTTCAAATTTACTCTCATGGTTTCTGGAGAAACTCAGTAACCTGTAGTATGGGTTGCAAGAGTGTTTGGGGGATTTTTTGGTTTTGAAGATACCTTTCTTTGTCTCATTAACCTGTTCTTCATTTAATGTTTTTTATAAGCTGTTTCATGACTCTCTTGGGAACACAGTTGCAGGAATATTCTTCTTTTTCTCTTGCTTTCTGTGAGAAAAAAAAAAAGAACATTAATCTCTTTATTGTTTCCTCTTACCATCTTTAGCTGCTCAGAAAGTGTCTCACCTTTTGGGTATCAATGTGACTGATTTCACTAGAGGTATCCTGACTCCTCGCATCAAAGTTGGGCGAGACTATGTCCAGAAAGCTCAGACCAAAGAGCAGGTATGCACTCTCTAAAAATGAACGAATACTTTAGTCTTCAATCTTGCTGCCACAAAGCTAACAAATGTATTGGAGGTTTCTGTAGTGTTTAATAACCGTATTTATGGCTGCAACTTATGGCAACTTCGCTTGAATAATGTAGCACGTGTATTGTTTCTAGTATTTGCTCACTTGATCTGTATAAAGGTAGAAATCACCCTGCCCCTGTAGCACTTTCTCTCATCTGGGGCGGTGTGTGGGGGGGAAGAGAACGCAACTCCCTAATTTTGGTGACTGGCCGTCCCAAGGGAGTAAGTTCCTTCAGTGCTTTATGCAAGGATGACACTTTCAAGTTGCTGTAATACAGAAAGCACCAGTTTTGAGTAGGTGAGCTGCTAGGGTGGAAGAATTTGCTGCTCAGCCTTGAAACTGATCATAAATTTTGTAACACTCTTGAATCAGGTTGTGTTTTAAATGAAACCTGACCTAGGAGCTAGTGGCCTCCTGAATGGAGCAAAACCCCTGCGCTTATTCACTGTGTGGCTTCTTTATCAACATATCCTTATTCTCAGTGTAAATAAACGTGCCCCTGTAACATGGAAGGGATTGGGAAGAGAGTGAAGTCTAGAAATAGTCACAGGCTGCCTTTCCATTTTGATATTTAATTTCTTACTATACGTAGTATTTTTGTGTCAATCACAGGTAGGGTAGTAGCATGGGAGGAGGGGATTTGGCTTCACAAATCCTAAATTACAAAAGAATTTAAATGCTTTTCTTTGGGCCTGTGAAACACCCTATGTTACTATAGTCTTTGGAGGTGACTGGGCATAATTTTTCTTTCTTGAATACCAGGCATTGGTTTCTCCAACAGGCAGGATCCTGAAATTTGGCTTTGACACACTAATTTAGTAAGACAAATTCTTTGCTCTTTTATGGAGTATCGCTGTGCCATCTGCTTTTCATTGGGAATAACCTCTGAAATGAGCCTTGTTCAGTGAGTTTGGTGGTGGAGATAAAATCTCAGACTGCAGTTGGGCCATTAGATGCCGAAACAGTGAAATCTGTGCCTTCCTTTGAATTATAATGTAACTCCTGATATTTGTCTTTTTTCTATTTAGGCTGACTTTGCCATTGAAGCACTGGCTAAAGCCACTTATGAACGTATGTTCCGGTGGCTGGTTATGCGTATCAACAAGGCATTGGATAAGACCAAGCGACAGGGTGCATCCTTCATTGGAATCCTTGACATTGCCGGCTTTGAGATTTTTGAGGTAAGGAGATGTCAGGTCCTTGCACTCAGCACAGTTTACCATGGAGCAAAGACCGCTGAAGGAAATCGCTTTAAAACTGGAAAAGAATAATATAGTTTTGGAAAGGATTTGTATTCCACTTTTGTTATTTGAGACCCCTGCTGATGTGAACTGTCTGATAAGTTATTAACTTAAGTGGTTCATTCTTCAGTATTTTATGTATACTGCAAATGTTTTATTGCTGTATATTCTGGTGCTTACATCCTTTTTGGCACGTGCATTAGAATTATTTTAATTGCACAGTTTCAGGTGTTCTTGATGCTTTATAGCTCACAGCTTAAGAGTTTGCTAACCTACAAAAGTCTTTTAAAACATCATGTAGAGCTATGGATCACCACTGGACTTAAAATTTTATGTCCCATTAGTCTGTCCCAAAACATTTAAGGGATGACCCACTGAAACCTATTAGCATCACTAAAAATTGTTAGAAGTGGTTTCTTCTTCCTGCTGCTGAGTTTTGGAAAAGACAAAGACAAGGTAGACCAAATAAGATCCAGCATAAATTCTGACCCATGTATGCTCCTTTCTGCAAGAAGCCTGAAAATCGGGGATCAGAGTGTGGTTTCATGTACAGCTAAACGGATTTAACAGCAACTCCTTGATGCAGAAAAGGAGTGAAGTTGCTCCTTTTCCCCTCTACAGCTCCTGGCTGCAACTGCTTGTACTGTTCACCTCTCTAGCCCTCTGGAAAATATTTTCTTACTGTGTTTTATAATTGAATCAGTCTGCAAAGGGGAATCTGAGCATAAAAACTGATGCAAGATAAGTGTAGGCGAAGAAGAGCTGAAGGCAAGTTGAGGGAGAGATGGAAAAGAGAGGAAGTGGGAGCTCCCTCTATAGGTGGCAGTGAACTGTTAGGCCAAACCATTATGTCAATGAAACAACAATTTTAGAATGTGGCTTTGCGTTGTACTTAGTCTGAAGCAACCACAGGCTGCCATCAGAAAAGAACTATCCTGCCATTATCCCAGCCAGGCAGCTCCTATCAACCTGTGTTACGCTGGATCTAGCTCATGTGCAGCTGCAAGGTGAATTGGACCAGTTTATTCATGAAATGGAAAACTAAGACACTGAAAAGTGTGTTTGTTTTTTTTTTTTCTTTTTCCTTCCCCCTCTCTGATGAGTCTACATTTGGTTTCATGGTTGCTTGATCTCATGAAAAGGAGGGGAGTGGAAATACATGATTAGGAATTACTGAAACATGGAAGAAGTAGATCAGGACCATTCTCTTCAGCAGCTGCATTATATTTAGTGTGGTCTAACATGAAAATGTACTGTGAGTTATTAACCTTGTCCTTATAGTTTGAAGAAATCTGGAGACGTTGAAGAAATTTCCCTCCCTTTCCTTGCTCTGATTTTTATATATGAGGATTAAAAAGGGACTTTCCAGTCCACATGCTCTCAGGAATTTGTCTTCAGACCTCTGTTGCATCCTCTTCCTATGAAGAGAACCTGCCAGCTCTGAGTTTGTGAGAAAACCAGAGTCTTTTCTGTTCCTGGGTTAAGCAGCTGCCGTAATTCTTCTGCTGTTTACAACTAAACATTCTTTTGCAAAGTCTGAGGAACAGTGTGTATGAACTTCCCTAGGGATTGCAGCAGTGATGCAGTGGCACGTGATGGGAAAGGCAGTTAATAAGCAAATGGGGTTATTGACAAAGAGCTGTCCACCCCACACAGAATGCTAGCTTAAATTCCTGAACTGTAGATGTGACCTTTTGTGCTAAGAGAATAGTAGGTCCGTCTGCAAAAGCAACTGTTCAAACATCTTTCTACCTTTTTCTTCATTAGCTGAACTCCTTTGAGCAGTTGTGTATTAACTACACAAATGAAAAGTTGCAGCAGCTCTTTAACCACACCATGTTCATTCTGGAGCAAGAGGAGTACCAGAGGGAGGGCATAGAGTGGAATTTCATTGACTTTGGCCTGGATCTGCAGCCCTGCATTGACCTCATAGAGAAGCCGGTAAGCTCATTCGTCTACTGTCGAGCAGGAAGAAATGGCTGCACTAATTTTGTCATTGAGCACATAACCTCTACCTGCAGACTGAAAACTAGCTTTCTAGCTTTTGTAATCCTCTACTGACACTGTGGTATGCTTAGAAGCAGAAGTGAACAGTTTCCTCGTTGTCTGAAAGTATGTCATCAATAAATCTGTTAGTACCAGTTCTGTAGGAAATATTGCATGAAAATAGATCTAGTCAGCCACTTTTTCCTCTCACAAAATTGTCTTCATTTGTGTAGATCTGCATGGTGCTAGATGTATCTGTGGCTTACCATAAGTAGTGTGAACTTTCTTACTTAACTGTAAGTGTGATGAGAAGCTGTGAATCTCTGCTTTCATTCTGCTCTAATGAAACTTGGAAATTTATAAATTTCATAGTAGATGTTCCAATAGTAAGGACTAATTTGTGAAATGTTCTGCTATGGTCTTCTGCATTTAGACACCTGGATATTTGGAGAACAGTGTGATAGTGTTACTTCTATTAAAAAGATTTTTTTTTTTCCCCACGTAAAACAACCTAGTCAAATGTCATGGAAGAGACCTTCTCATAAAAATGTTTAGAATTCAGATGAGGATTTTGAAGAATTATTAACAATTTCTATTAGTATGGAAGTTGTTGAACTGATACCACACAACAGGTGAATGTGATGGGGATCAGGCTTAGGTATCCTTCCCCCCCCCCCCCCCCCCCCCCCCCACGGACGTGTTTTTTTCGGTGGCGCTG